TGCTTACGGAATCGTAGAGTATGGAAGAATTTGGCAGCTGACCATTGAAAGATGGGATGTCTGGGCAAGGCATTATACCAATCCCAGGCATGCCGCAACTCTTCTTGAAGTTCGGCGAGGGAGGTACTATTTCAATAGCTATTTGAAAGGTCGTGGACGATTTCTTAGTCGTCGGCTCACGACGAGAAGTCGATGATTTCCACAAAGCACTGGCGAAGCGTTTTGAAGTCGGCTGGTTCGTCGCTGGCCGCCCACTAATTTTCAACCGTCTCCACATCTCCCAGAGTAACGATGGGACGGTACAAGTTGATATGAAGGAGTACATGGAGAAGATCAAGTTTTTAACGCTGTCCCGAGAACGGAAAAAGCAGTTCCACCAAAAGCCACCCCCGAAGAACTCACATGGTACCTCGGATTGGCTGGATCACTGAACTTTCTTGGCCATGGTGTCCTCCCGCAGGCTTCTTTCGCGGCCAGCTATCTTCAGCAAGCTGTAGGCAACCTAACGGTCTCTGACTTGATCGCCGGCAGCAAGGTGCTTAAGGAGCTAACGGGCTTAACTCCCCAGCTCAAGTACTGTTCTCCCCCGAAGCTCGACAACGACCCATTGTATCTATGCTTCTCAAATGTGAGCCAAGGTTCTACTTCATACGGCCAGACCGGATACCTCTCCGGGATATACCTGCCTGCGGGGGGTGCAGGTGGTGTGTACCATGTTCTCGATTGGCACAGCTGCAAGCAGTCTCGGTTTGCTTTTTCATCAATTGGCGCTGAGATCCTCGCCGCAGCGACGTCGACGGACCGCGGATCACTGATGGCGGAAAGCCTCAAACAGGTCTATGGATCGGAGGTGCCACTACCATTTGCCCTCACAGTTGACTCGCACGGCTTGTATTCAACAGTCACAACGCTGCACGAAGGTACGGACTACCGTCTTCGATCCACAGTTGCACGAATGCGAGACTCCTTTGAGAATGGAGAGATCGCTACGATGCAGTGGATCGCAGGAAAGCTGAACCTTGCGGGCGCACTGACAAAGAGGAACGTAGAAATGTTCAAGAAGCTCAATGAAGTCATGCTGAACGGAGTGCTGGACCCTTGTATGTTCGACAAGGGGAAGCGGATCCAGTTTTATTAGCATCTAATCCTCATCAGTTACCACCCGCCTCTTCAGTCGAGAAGAAGGACTGGTAAAAGGCTTCTTCTTTGGTCCGTGGTCCTTTCGCTTGCGTCGCACCTCGGTGGATATTGTCCTCGCACCATTGCGACGCTTTCTTTTACCTTGAGGTTGTCTTGTAAGGCGGCGAAGCTCGGGAATGCCAAGGAGATCGACTCCATCCCCGACACAAGCCCCAACTAGCAAAGCGTTCGGCAGGGTCATAAACAAGCTGCCTCTCGGCGTCAACAACCACGATGTGGTCTATGTCCTCTCCAGAAGAGTCCAGTGCCCCAAGCCTCGCCAACAAGATCCCGTCTCGTTGGGTGACCAACCATTCCTCTTCCTCCAGTCCATCCGGAAGAGCAACCTTCTCGAGGCGGTAAGCATGCAGCTCTCTCTCCAACCATGCGCCTGCTTGTGCAATGCTGGCAGAATATGTCGGCTTTAAGGACATCGTTTCCATCGCTACCGACTCTCCGGCCAATGCCTGCAGACCATTACCAATGTACGCTCGAAGGTATTGCCCACGCGGAGAGTACACAAAGTTACGTATATCTGACCGAAGCGGCACTGCTGCAGACGAGTCGCTGCGAGCACCGGGGCATCAGACTCTGAAGAAGCGATCCATCCGCCTTGTGCACGCTAAGTGCAAATTGTCCAAGTACTGAGCCTGGGCGCGGGGATCGTAAGAAACTTTCACATTGATCGGGGCGCCACTCGAATTTCTGCAGACCTCCAGGTCAGTGTCAATTTCACTGCAGAGCTCCGCCATCTGGTCCAAAGTCCCCAGGACCTGATGAGATTGCATGGTATAGAAATCCATTGGCCAGATGGAGCGAGAACCCCCGCGATCATTTGAGGAGGCATGGTACCCTCGCCTGCCGAAACGTCTATCATCCCCAGACGCTAATACGATACGCCGAATTGCATACTCATTGTGATCCACATGCAGCTCCATGACCCTTGAGCCCCAATGGCTGAAGAACCCAACATCCGCTAGCCGACTTCCGGAGTGCTCTTGACCAGGACGGACTTCCAACCAATCCCACATCTCCTCCGAGACCGACCGTGGCAATCGCAAGCTCCTCATCAACTCCTCCTCGTCGACCAACCGAACCTCAGAACGGCCTTTCAATTGCGCACGACCAGTCTTGCCGTCCATTCCTACAGCCTTGAGCGGCAACTGCTTGCCTCGGATGGTGATCCACCGCGCGCCTTCCATCGCTGGCCTCGCCTTAACCCCTCCGTACCGTGGCCCACAGGCTCTTTTCTCGGTTTCGGTCAGGGTGGTAGCTCCGCAATTGAGGCAAGGCGCAGCGGTGGATATGATGTGCGGAAAGTTCGAGAGGAATTATGCAGAGCGGTGCGGTCGCGCACGGGCAAAGGTAGGGACGGACAGAAGGGGGTTGGAACGTTCCACAAGGGAAAAGGGGGTAGGAAATCGTTGAAGGGGAGCAAATGAGGACGCCAATAACTCCAGCGCCGCGGGCTGTTCTCGTAAAGAACGGCCACCGGGTGAGGGCTGGAAGGGTGTCAGGCCGCGCGACGACGGATATACCGCGGCGTCGGCGTGCGTGCCGCGCCGGCCGCCGTCGGTCGTGGCCCGACAGGGGGGGTGTCGTGGAGTTGTACAGCGAGGACAACGCTAGCCCTAAGCGGCCTATAGTGTCCGCGGCGGTGCGCCGGCGGTCCCCGAATACTAATGGAAATATCGGGTATTTATCTCTGTGCTGAAGAATAGAACATTTTTGAAAACAGAAAAAAGTAGTTTTCCGACTGCAGCGTGCATGACCTACGGAGCACGGCCTCGACAAACACCAGAAACGATGCCCTAGAGCCGCTCTGTCTGCAGACATAAACACTATCCCGTAGCATCAATAGATACAAGATACACCAACAAAAAGGGGTGCTGCAGAGAACCTTTTAAAGAGTTCTCCTAAATATTCTCCTAACTTAAGGAGAACGTCTCCGTCTTTTTGGAGAGAATCTCTCCGGATGTGGAGAATCTCCACAGGGGAGATTCTACAAAACATGTGCAAAATGTAGTTGTCAAGAAGAGAATGATGCTTGGCTCAAACACAGATGAAAGCAGTGCATAAAGAAAGCAATTCAGAGCTCAGCACCACGCCGAAATACCTTTACCTATACTCATACTACATACCTAGTAGTTAATTGCGAGCACTCCGAGCTTTTTGTTGTAGAAGGTGAAGTTCTTCGCTTCCTATGGTTGCACGTACCAACTGCCTTGACGAATGCCAAGTATCCCAGCAATTTACACAAATTGGCTGACGGCAGCATCCACACCATTGAACCACTTTTGATCCCCCTTTCTTCTGGAATTTTCTCTTCCGGAAAGTTATCGTTTCCGAATAAGAGCAAAGGCTACAATACGTCGCTTTTCCCCTAATCTTGTCATGTGCCAAATTGGTATTCAACCTTCTACGTCTATCTGCGGGACGATTATACTTTGCACTGCATAAGAAGCATACATTGCTCTTACACCCGTTGAGGTTCTCTCTTGCAATGCGCGATTTCCTGACTCTAAACTCATTTGGTTTTGATCTGTAGTGTCATTCCGACTCTGCAGTGATAAAATATATTCCTGAGCGAGACCTCTCGCAAATTGTCCAAACGTCTGACATCCAGTCACTTGATGACGTGTGTTCTTGTACCCGTTACCACTTTTCCTGAATTGCGAAATAGATGGGAACTTTTGTTGAAGCCGTGCAATCCCAAAGCGATACACAATCGCTGCATTTGAGACTTGTGCACCCAATAAACGTCCCAATATGCTTACTATTGGATTCTCACTTCTGTTGGTGTAAGCCAGTGTAGTCAAAGCTCTACTAAACTCATCGACACCCCCTTCTTAGTGCATTCCAATAAACTAGAAGAACTGGGCGAATCATGCGACAAGGCGGAAGCGGACCATTCTCAATAACTATGTTCTTGTATGCCTGACTCAAGTTGTAAAATGATGCAAGCGTGTGAATGTCAGACGTATGCGAACCTTGCAGGAGTTCTCCATATCTTTCCGGAATGCAAGTCGCTTCCTTACCGACCCAGTCGAATGCAGCAACCCGAACGGCATCCATAAAAAGAAGATAAATGTTCCGGAGATGCTGTGACATATGAAGCATAACTGCATAAATAATCTCACCCATTCCGCAGTTACTTCCTTTTGCTACAATAAATAACACATGTTCCAAATCAGCAGCAGCAGCGTGATGCAGACATTGGAATCTATATCCAGTCGTCGGGACAAGGTCTCGAAAGAATATATCTGCACTTGCATTCCTCCCTACATCCTTTACAATAACGAATGGACCAAATCTGTTTCTTGTCCTTTTGGCAATGGCAATTGTGTTGTGCGAAGTCATTGTTTTGATCTCAAGAGAAGCAACGTGAGCTTCCGTTCCATCAGTGTAGCCCATCATTCCATCAGGACTATCCGCGATCATATCAGAATTATTAGAGCATAAAAGTCTCACGCTTCGAACATACTCTACTTTAAGAGCAACTGGCTCTTCGGGCAACGAGGAGAGATTGACAGATAAGTGTAAGGCCTCATTTTCCTTGAAGAAAGCGGGAATAGCACGTAATACCTGAATTTCATTCAAACTTCCCTCCTTCATCCCCGCAGTAGACACGAGTGGCTTCATTGCCCACGACTCAAGAGAAGCTTTATAAAGCTGAGATAATACATTTTCTGATAATATCTTGTAACGGATCTGTTCATTTGCTCCTGATGTGTCCTGTATAGGCAATGTTGCGTCCCCCCTCCTCACAGCAGCTTGGTGCTCTATCACTCTCGAAATGAGTTCACTTTTGCGTGAGGAACTCAGGTCTTTCTTCCCAACAGAGCTGACAATGACAAAAGTTCGTCCTTGCGTCGCTGGGCTAGACTAGACGCTGTTTCCGACATGAATATTTCAGCCTCTGAATGGGTCAGGGGTTGCTCCATTTCCCGACTTGAGATACCAATTGTAGTAGATAATGATGTCCACTTTTCCAACAAGTCCTTCTCAAGGTTTTTGAGGTCACTTGTCAAAGGTTCAAATCCAGCTCGCAATCGTTTTCCTCGCAACAAAAACGAAAGTCCGGCAATGTTGCAAATATAGTTGCGCGCAATTGCTCCAATAAAATTATTGGAAGTTCTTGATGTGAACTTAAATGCTCTGCCAAGAAACCAACCAGGGTCCTCCGATTGCAAAATAGTAAACTGAAGCAAGTGTCCCAGGAGCTGTAAAACTTTTAAAACTGCACTGTTGGAGAGAGCTCTTTGCGTGACAGAGGCATTTGGTAGATTATAGCCTTCCTCTTCACACTCGGCAGAAGCACGTCTGTTATCAAAAATCAATTGTAATCTTTCTTCTGCATCACAATCAAACTTGTGCCGGAAGCCGTCTTTGGGAATCAGACAGTAATGGTGAGCCCCAAACCTTGTGGAATCGTTACTGTACACAGCGGCAATGCGACCTGAATAGCTTTCGCGATAAACAGATGCCTCAATTGGCCGCCCTTTACTTCCCCGTGATACTTTTGTCGCACTGTAAACTGCGCGGCATCCTTTCTCGGAGACCACCATACCTTTATGCTTTTTCCGTATGGGTCCTTCACCAAACACAAAAGGGTAGCTGAGAGAACGGTTATGAGTGCCAAATGTAGTGGCACCTAGAGTTCATTGAGAAAAGAAATAGTCTCTACCTCATTATATCCTCGATCGGAGGCGAAAATAGAATCCACCATTGGCCTGAGGGCCCCCACAGTAGGTACTCCTTGTATTAGTTGAACTAGCCGGTGCCAAACGTGGGTAATTTTTTCGTGGGGGCGAGAGTAGTGGCTAGCAATGAATGCATGCGTCAAAGCAGAACAGGCTGCATTGTTCACTGGGCCAAGTGCCTTTTTAGGGTTGGTCACTTGAGAAAGATTGGTGAGATGAAGCACTGCCCTCGAACTTAGTCGGTTGTGGTCATCATCGACCGAATAAATCGTGACTCCCTCCACATGAACTAGCCTTCTGTTTATAGCGGCTAGTTCGCCCTCCATATATGTGATCAGCGCGTTTCCAGCAACAGGTTTATTCAACCACCCACACTCACTTTGTTCAAAACCCTCTCTTTTTCGCTTTGTACCAGATAACGCACTCCAAACTTCCTTATATCTGCTTCCGGAAATTTTGCATCTGAAAGAAAAATGCTTTGTTTTCCGGAGCAGTAATAATCGAAACAGATGTATCATATGAAGCTGCAAGTACGTGCAGTATGATTACACCTTGCAGCTCTGATGTAGAACAGGGTGGCTTCGTTCTGGCCAGTAGCACCTTGTTTATATGGACGCGAAGTTCTTCCAGAGTAGAGAGCGGGAGAAAGGCTTCAAATGCCTCCAAACGAGAAATCTGCTGTTCCTCTCGCTGAGCTTCTGCTTTGAGGAGAACAGTGCTCAAGTACATTATCAATAATACTGTTTGCTTCCCTCACGAATCAAGGGTACAGGTCTGCATCGACTGTGTCGATAGAGAGTGTCACTGGCGCAAATGGTGAGGAATATTTCCACGTCGACAAGCCTACGTCAGATGAGGCGTCCCATCTGTCTTCGCCCTCTACAGAGGCACATGACGTAAGGCTTGCTTCTACAGCTTCGTCATTATTCAAATCGGTATCGTTGACGTTAACAAGCTCTGACTCACAATACGTGAAAAGACATGAAAAGTAGTCCTGAATCACGTTTTTCTGGCCATAGAACTGATTAGTCGGTACTGTTTTTCCTTTGTGAGTAGAGGGAGAGTGCAGAGAAATAATTTCGGCTTGCTCCACGCGCATGTTCACGGGTAAGTTCATTTCGGTAGAGTCTTCTTCCGATTCTGAAGGAGAATTTAGCTGAACTTCTTGGGAAGACGGCATGTCGTCAGAAGACGAGCAGTCTTCATCGATGGGGTTGTAGTAAAGAGGATCTGAGGGATTGTCGTCCGGATCTGAACTAGAAATTCGACCAATGATGTCGACGACATCATTGGTGTGGGCGCTGTCGTCATCCGGGCTTAGGAATACAGAACCGAGGTCTTGGATGGTTGCTCTCCCCGTACCGGGATCTGCATTATGACCATTGTGCCGGGGGAAATGGCCTCTGTCCATTTCAGGATTGTTACAGATCGCGACGCCGTCGAGGCTGTCGTCTGCGGAGACTGAAATCCGCCATCGATCTGAAGATGGCATTGCTTGAGGGAAACGACGGGGTAAAGGAAATTGGAAAGGTACAGGAGATTGTGGAGGAGAGGAAATGGTAGAGGAAAGGAGATGTTGGAGGAAAGGAGATGGTGGAGAACGTTCTATTCTGGTGCGACGTCTACCGAGTGTCAGGAGAAATTCTCCAGGAGAGTGGAGAGATGTATCTCTTCAGTTGTTCCCTTTTCTCCGAAAGTAGATGGTAGAATCTACTTTTCCAAAAAAGTGTTCACATTTTAAGAAGAGAACCAAATTGTTCTCCACAGCAGCACAGGTTTATACAAGGGGAAATTAAAGAGGGTAGAAATCCGGAGGGGAGAAAAAACACAGGGACCTCCGGTGGCTTTGTAGCCTGCAACTTCGCCTCGTTCGATCACCTCTGCTCCGCTCCCTCCACTGCGCGCGATCAGGGAAACTGAGCGCCAACATCTTCTCGCGACTAACGTTCCTACGACTTGAGGGAAGAGGGACTTGTCTCCCGAAAAACAGTAATGTGCACGTGGCACTGTATTGCACTCTCACTAAATTCAACCAATCGCACATACCTATGCACTTTAAACGTCCAATAAACGATTACCATCACCACATCTTGTGGGACCCGTTCAAACGACTTCAGCATCACAAGTACAAGTATGGGGTACCCAAAACTGAACAGTCACCCCAAAAGTTGAACAAGCGAAAAATCTGCCCTTTTTATTCCAAAATCAAGATTGAGCACCAGAAATGGACATATCTCCTGACTTCAGGTCCAACAAATGGCATAAACGCGCTGTGAAAAATAAAATCAAATCTGACCACGAGCTTTGCCGCCCAAAGTTCGAGTGGATACCATACTTTTAAGTTCATCTCACCACTGAAGCAATGAAGTCGTGCGTGGCAGATAGAATTTGAGATACAACTTTTTTTGAATTTTTTTTGATACTTACTTCGCGTTGACCAATAAAACTGTTGTTCAAGTTTCGAGTGACATTGGGGTCGGGATCGACGACGCTAGCGCTCCCACGTGTTCGGGAATTCTACGTCTACAGTACTACTATCCACCATTAAAAAAAGCCACCCCGACCTGGACGGTCAAGGCCATCAGCTTTCTAATGGAAAAAAACCCGACTGAATCGGACAATTTTAAATTTACTTATGGCCTGCCATCTCAGTTCTGTTCAACTTCAGTGGACCGGTACTTGTACAGTATATTCCCGCGTCTTCTCCCTCCTGCCGCGCTCCTTTCCATCCTCCCGGGCACCAACAACGCCTCTCATGGCCTTCATCCTCGCCCTCCCTACATCGCCTCGCAACCAACCCCACCAGATCACCTGCTCGCGTCTGCCTTCCGTCTCTCATCGTCCAATGTCCGCCCCTCTCCGCCACCGCCCCGTCCCCTCAAAGTCACTGCCCCTCCCCTCCAGTCGTACTCCTCGCCGTATCAATGTCATCACCAAAGCCGCTCTAGACGAGCAAGCAGAACAGCAAAAGCCCTCGCTCTTATCCGGCACGGTCGGCGCCCTCGCCTGTATCACCCTCCACCTCGCCTCCGCCACCGTCTTCCTCCACATCGCGGAGGGCTGGGCCCTTATCGACGCCCTCTACTTTGCAGTCGTCATCGCCACCACAGTTGGCTATGGCGATATCACACCAGTTCGCCCAGCCTCCAAGGTCTTCGTCGCCATTTATGCTGTCGTGTCCGTCTCCTTGATCGCAGGCGTGCTGCAAGCCCTCTTCGAACGCGTCGCCGACGCCCACACTAGCCTTACTAATTCCGCAGCCAGCAAGCTTCTCACATCCACCTCAAATACCAACGAAGATGCCGGCCATGCCGATCTCGTCGTCGCTGCGCGGCAGTCCGTGCGACGTGCGAGATCCCGTTTATGGGCATCCATATCTATGTTCCTGGGTGCTTGTTTGTCAGGCGCGCTACTTTACGGTCGCTTTCTCAACGCAGGCTACATTGATCTATTATATTTTCTCTGTATCTCCATGACAACCGTCGGGCTCGGCGATATCCATCCCGTATCTGCGCCGGGAAAGGCGTACGCAGCGATTTGGCTTGTGCTGACATCGCTTGGCTTTGCGAGCATAATCTCACAGTATGCAGATCTTCGTGTTAAGGAAAGGCAGAGGGATATGATGCAGCGTATGTTGGAGGGTGATATTAGTGATCGTATGTTCACGGAAATTGATGATGATGGCAGTGGTGCACTTTCGGAGGCAGAGTTTCTTGGATATATGATGTGCAAGTTGGGCAAGGCTTCCCCTGATGACGTAAGTCCCTTGTGCAATTTGGCTTCATGCCCTATCTGCGATCACCACGACCTTGTTTCTCACGTTTCATATCTTTCGCAATCTCCGCGCATTTGTCTCCACGCGAGTTGACGCTCTCCTGCCCGCGAACGAAAGGTTCGAGGGATTTTGAAGAGATTCCGTGAGCTAGACACAGATGGCTCTGGTGTCATCACAAAGAACGAGGTAATATCATTGCGAAAAAAATCGGTTTAACGATTTTTGGACGCGCAAACTGCAACACTGATTGCTATCGTTGAACAAGGCGGCCTTATCCAATAGTGCCAGCGATCAACATATATATGCACAGTACAAATACAGTTCGCCAGTTGCTCCGCCAAATTTCCCGCGATCCAAATAGGGCAATGCCTTATTCACAGCGCTCCCGCCAATTCGCTAGGAAAACTGGCGAACTGGAGTCGGAATGTTTTGCATTTCCGGGGTGCCGCCACATTTGGTGATTTGGGAAAATCACAGTTTCGGAATGCACCCTTTTTATTTATTATTATTAAAAGTAACTGCTTATGGCTCATCTATGAAACATGCAAACTTGGAATAATCGATATTTACTCCTGCTTCCTGACGGCGGTCGACCAAGAAGTAATACAGTATCCAGTTCCGTAAGATCTTATTACTGGCCAAATCGGGGCCCACCATCTAAGAACTTGAGTTCCTCCGGAGTCGACACGCGCCCGAGAACCTCATTTCGATACGGGTATCTCCCAAACTCTTGCACGATATCTCGGTGCTTATGCGCATATCCCAAATTCGCTTCCAATAACTTTGTTACTTTGTCGGCATTTTCACCAGCCGCCTTGGAATCGTTCATCAATTCGCGCACATTATCCACACAGGTATCGAGGTGTAACATTGATTCCTGGTGCATAAACGGCATCAGAAAGGACATGAGTTGCGGCGCAGAAAGCTGCTCTTTGGCTCTGGGCCAGCGACTGCCTTTCACAATTGCCAGTGCCACCTCAATGCATTTCTCATCACCAGCATAAGCCTTTGCAGAACCTCGAAAGATGTTGCGCGTGTATTGATCCAGCATGATAACCATGGCAAGAGGGCCTGTTATGGGGTACTCTGAGTTGTCGATGAGGTTGTCCCATTCTCCCTGAAGGGCGCTTTCCACGTCTGCTCCGAACCGGTTGCGGATGTCAGCGTCGACCTCTTTGCCTCCTTCATACCACACCTTGGCTTGGCCGTCTAAGCTGTCATACCGCCCGACCTCCGTTGAGCCGAACCAGTGCGTCAGTACGTCACGGACGAGCTCGTCCGCGGATTGACGAGGGGCCGTCGTCATCATGCGAGTGGTGCTTAGTTGATAGGTCCAGGTTGTTGTGGTGGTTCGCGGAGCGCCGTTGAGACCGGGGCGGAAACGTACGGACTGGAGCACAGCGGGGATTAAGAATGCTTGACAGGCTCTAGTGACCATTACAAGCAACGCATCACCTTTTGGCTGAAGGGTGCTGCAGCGTGTGGAAGTGTGCACTGCGAAGGGTATCTATGCCTTGCTGCTGCAGCGTGTGGAAGTGTGCACTGCGAAGGGTATCTATGCCTTGCCTTGTAATGTTAACAAAAGTCGTTGTCATCTGGTTTGTGCTACCGTACTGCCCTTCTTCCATGAAGATCAAGCAGGGTTTGGCTCCCTCTCGGCGCACCACCTGGGCCCCTGTCTCGGGGCGAATGACTGTGCCATCACACGCTGTTTCATGGGACATTGCAGACACACTTGGGGGATCCTAACCCGTGAATCGCAACCAGAAATACAGCATCATCTCGCACACCCTCCGCTTGCACATCTAATTTACTGCAGATTATGTTTGCTTGCTGGCTGCATTTGACTCGTCTGACATGCACCAAGGGTACACAGTCACAGTAGGATACAGTCAATATGGTCCTCTGTAGCAACAGCTATCCTCGCTCGCATGCCGTCTCACAGCGCGGACACGCGCCATCCAGTCCAAGCGTGACACCTGGACGTTCTATGAGATAGCATTCGCTCAAAAGGACATTGAATAAAGGAACAATCAGTCAACAAAAATATAGTTGACAAATGTAATACCAAGGGTACTGTTGTGGTTTGTGCAGTGCTGGACATGGTGGCGGGTCGGCTGTGGTGATATGATAGTGAGGGTCTATTCTACAAGCTCGGATGTTGAGCAACACAGTGCTCCCTGAGGCTCAATATGGCCCCTCAGGTTGTCTCTTCTTTTCTTGCCTAGCTTCTACTTTGCTTCTAACCTCTTTGTGAGGCGTTCATTTCTACTAGCTTGGCGTTCCCTCTAGCGTGCTAGTCTGTTCCTTCTTGCATTACGATCTAGCGACCGTTGCTGTATGAATCGTGTCTTTGTATTTGCATTGCCTAAGGTCTTCTATTCAGTCTTGCTGGGCACTCTCATGCGTCGGGGCATCGTGATCGGTGGCTTGCGTGCACTTAGCTTTTCCTGTAATTAATCGCGGTTGCTTGTGTGCTCTTTGCATTTCATGCAATTGCTCGATTAACCGTTTTGCAGATGCCAGACAGCCTGTCTGCATCCAACTACAACTGTACAGTAGACAAGTACGACGTGCAGCCAACCAACCCCCGTTCCGAAAGCTTCAAACTACAGTGAGAAATTTCTCAACAACGTCTACAGCCCATGCGATGTTCTCATTGAGGCCTCTAACATCTGGATTTCTTTTTGGTAATCGAAAATAGGCCAGCCTGTCATATCAATTGGACGTCCTGACAGTTTCGGCCATTATCTCATGACCGCCTGTTTTGGCGTGTATGCTCTTGAGACAGTTCACGGTCATGTGATTAAGGCCGATACGGCCGAGCACACCGCAGTGCCTCCGGGAGAGGAATTCCACGAACACAGTCTCTTCGAGAGCCCATGAAGTCAACAAGACTAAACCCGCTCATGCTCAAAGTGGCACTAAATGTTCTGCAAGAAGAAAAGAAGAAAAAAAACATGTCAACGTTTCATAGAGCATTGCTTTCTCCTCATTTCGTGCTGTGCGGAAGCATCTTGTGTCCGTACCATTTCTGTGGAATCGTGCTTTCCTGTTATAGTCAGAGCCATTTCTTCCTTTCAAACGCGATCAGACGAGGTGCTCGCCAGTTTTATGTATGATGTATAGCTAACACGGTCGTACTTACACGGTCGTTCTTACACGGTCGTTCTGACAACTCAGGGTTGCAAAGCATGAGATATGTTGTATAAAGCTTGAATCCACAAACGCCTTTAACCGTGAACACATTCTTCAAACGACATGACTACTTCGCATTCCATGCAAAGCTCACAGCGGCGAATCGATCGTGATGGCAACCATGAACTTAGATAACATTGGATACATAACTGTAGAACAGGAAATAGCACCGTGCCGTTTTAAATTTTTCAAAGATGGGAAAGGGTCTGTTTTCTTAACAACCGGTTAAGTGAAAGCGACGAGTGTCCCGAGTGGACTCCTGATTGTTCCTGTGAAAGAAATTTCCCTGCTTATAGTCTGATTGGAGGGAATCAAAGCGGCATTCTCCCGTATGTAGAACATGCAATGGTCCTTATACAGACTTCATGGCCAAATATTCCAGTCTCGCTTGAATTAACCTTCACAGGTCTATTGACTGCGCAGGGGTACCCAGCATTGCCGGGTAGTGCTCTTTGTTGTTTCGTATCTCCAAGTAGCCGACAATGTCAAATTTTGGTGGGCTCTATGCTCTTCAATAGTCAGCATCACTTCAGTTCACCAAACTGCATCAGAGCAACGTTGCTTAGCAACAATAATTTTTTGAATTCTACAAACAAGTGTAACTATGGAAGGAAAACAAGTTAATCTTCAGTATGCTCGTGGAGATGTTTGCGAAATTGATGCGTTGCAACATATTAGCTCAGAGACCTGTCTCCAAATTGGAAACACAAGAATATCGAAAACGGCGATAACGCTTCTCGACTGTCGAATGGAAACAAGTGGAAAACAGACGTCCGGCTGTTTCCTTGGTGAAGATGAAAGCACTATTATCTGTCCATCTGATCAACGGAGGTACCTGAAGATTGATATTTTCGAAACGATCCTTCAAATATATGACGCTTGCGAGGCTTCTTCGATCAGCAGGCAAAGGGAAAACATGATAGTCCTTAGCACAGAGCTTGCAAGACTAACAAAAGAATCTTCCGAAAATCAAAAAAAGGCTCAACTAGACCTCGAGAAAGTAATCGCCTTATCTAATCAACTGAATGCACTCCTAGAAGATAGTCTCCTTGTTGGGAATCAGTTGCTGAGTGAATCGAAATCCTTTAGGCGTTTCAAAGCCTGTATGAAAGAAATACTAGACGAATTTCGAGCCAAATCGGTGCTTGACTTCGGCCGATCTCTAAGTACTACACAGGACATAACGGCGATGGATTTGGACGCTCTGTTAGCTCCAGATATAAGACCTGCGTCTCAGTCGTTCCGTAACGTATTAACGTTGGGTTCAGAAAGTCCGATATGGAACCTTTTCCAGCTGGAGAGAATTTATTCTGTGTTATGTGCCGCGCTCTTCATATCTATGGTTTGCCGATCGTTTGGGAATGCCACTGTCGCCGTAACTGCAATATCTCTACTGAATGCCGTAAGAGCCGTTGTGACCGCCGGAGACTACATTAGTTTTGCCTTCGACACCTTTTTGAGCCATGTTATTTGCCTCCTGGTCCTAGTTGCTTGGAGAGCCACCTTCACGATGCGAATGATGCGGATTAGGAAATCTAAAGGTTCTGGTGTGTCCAGAAGAGAAGAAAAGAGTGGTTAGCACTGAATTGCCGAGAGAACGGAAGAGAAGAACAGTTGTATGCCCCTCATCTCAGGTTTTGGAAATCGCTGAAGTGATAGAGAACGCTCTCCTGGGCTTCTTCAGATCATAGCGACGCCAAAATATTATTTCCTCGTCGCTCTCCATAACTGGGCAAACGAGAGCGATTAAATCACCTCTAGTGACGTCTTTGGGAGCTTTGCATACCGTACCTTCAAATACTTTGTAGGGATGCGGAATAGGGAAGCACACAATCCTAAATTCACTTAGCACGAGAGAGAGCCTGTACAGAGGGAGATACAATTATGCAATATAAATTCCTCACTGCTTCATTTGGGTGCTAAGGCTTTACGGGAGTCATCTCTCACGGGAGACGTACGTAAAAATTGTTCAAAATCGGGACCGAACTTCCTGACGCAAGCTTCATTTTCTCTTGTTGAAGATGTGAATGGCAGATGGCATCTTTCAACGGATTATTCATGAGATCTTGAAAGAGCATTTCCAGCACCGATGATATACTGGAGCAAGCAAAAGACAGCGACTCGTACCCAGCGCGTAGTCCGGAAAGCATGAGGCTGCTCTTCTCCTTATTTTGCCATGCAGCCATGGCTTGGATAGCCAGACGGGAGAACCAGAACCAAGGAACTGAACCAACCAGAGAGGGGGTTGTTTTGTCATCTCATTCGCTGCCAAAGAAATTTTACACCGGACAGCTCCAAGAGGAATCAAACTGCTATATTGCATACGTGAAGCTAGCTGAACTATGTGGTATGGCATCGGAGAAGCAGCGAACATGGCTAGCAACACTCCTTACAAACTGTCATCTCGAAGGAGCTGGGAGAAAAACCATTCAGTGGCACCCGGAGCACGCTTTACGCGATGTCTCTCCCCAAGAGTACTCGCTTGTTAGTCGGTATATTCCGTTGATATCTGATATTTGTGACCGTACGGGTAATGCGCACCATCTTGCAATGTTTCAAATGAGAGTTGATCACGATAAAAAGCTATGGGCCAACATTGCGGAACTTGAGGAGGCTGTTACGAAAGCAACCGAGGTGAACTATGATTCCGAACGTCTCTTCTCTCGATTTGATAAGGTCGCTGAAGATGCCTTGACGCGCACAAAACACTTGGAAGATTTAACGACGCATTTGGGTGCTGCAACGAAGGAACTTAACCAGGAACACAAGGAACTTCGAATGATTCAGAATGACATTCAAGACTCCATGACAGCACTAAGTGAAGAAAAACGCGCTTTGGCTGCCAGTGCTTTGAACTTTGCGCAGGTGGCATCTGAAAAGATCCTCAGTGTTGAAGAATCAATAGAATTCAGAAATTCTTACAACGAACTGCTTACGAAATATGCTACGTTGAAAGAGAATATCCATCGCGAAACCCATAAAGAATCTATGAGCGAGCTGGAGTCCAGGGATCATTTATGGCAAAGAATCTTTCCATTCCGACAAAGTTCGGGGCTCGTTGCCGGTGTTTGGTTTGAAATCATTCCGAGACTTCTGTGGACATCACTGATGGCCCCTTTTCGAATGACAAGGATTCTGGAATCTCTGAGGATGAGCGGTATGCTAAGTGGGCAGGGCGAGAGCATAATTGTAGCGATGCAAATAATATTTAGTTTCATTGGAGTCATTCTATGTTATCGGGTGATAGTGACACTGAAAACTTTGGCTGCAAATGGAAGTTCCTTGCGGGACTTTCTCGACGGATCGCTCCAAACCTTGAAGGCCCTCACATCTCACCTGAGATCTGTCTACGACAGAAGAAGTGGAGAACATAGTATGCGACGAAAGCAAGCTATTGTCGTTTCTGAAGAGGACAAAAAAGTCCTGTTGCTGGAGCTTATGAAGATTGCTGACACTTTGCTGGACGAGAGGCTTCAGACTTACCTTGCCCAATGTATACAATCTGTACCGATAGATGCGGCGCTTACGGACAAGTTGAAAGAGTTTCTACAAGCGTACGACAAAGAGATATCTAAGAAAATATGTCGAATTGAGAAGCGACAAATAATCATCTTCCAACAACTTAGGGAGGCGCAGGAGACGACATCCCTGGCGTATTCAAAAGACACCGGACAAAGCATGAGGCGGTCCAGGACGGACGCCAGTGCAGGGGCAACTCGGTTGGGAGCGTCTCGACGACCTGGATCAGAAAAGGTATAAAAACAGAGCGAAGAATCTCGTTAGAAATGCAAGTTCCAAGAAGAAAGAAATGATGACGGTCGACGAGGCCTCCCAAAAGAGAGCAGTGATATTTCTTCATCACGCGCGGTTAATTTCAATCCGTTTCCAGATGCAGAAAACGCTTCATGCATACAAGTACTCTTTACAACAGCGTGTCTCCCTACAGGCGCTAGAGTACAGGTTCCCGACTACTTGTGAGGCGCATGGTGAGGTCGTCCAGCCAACATACGTAGGCAACGAGCGTTCAACATGCAATCCAAACAAACCTGGATGGCCTGATGAAACACGCCCCAGACATGAACCGAGCCAAAGAATGCGGCCATCGGACTTAGGCGTACTTATCCAGACGGCAATCGACTATGCGACCGTCGACCTCTTTGCCAGTCATCTCCTGAATAGCCCTCTCCGCCTCCATTTCAGTCTCGAAGAGGACGGTGCCCATTCCCTTCGATTTGCCATCATGAGTCTGTGGCACATCAGCACGAATGACGCTGCCATACTCACGGAACAAATCTTTCAAGTCTTGCCATCTGATATGATACGGCAAATTCCAGACGACAATCTTCCTGCCACGATCCGACTCCCTGCGACGACTGAAACCTTCACCATCTCCGAAAGCACGACGAGGCTTGCCCTCCTCACGATCGGCGCGAACGAAGATCGACCTGCCATCAAGCATTGTATCATTAAGTGTATTGATGGCGTTTTCGGCAGCTTCCGGTGTCTCGAACTCCACAATTCCACATCCCGCTGAACGGCCGGAAGACTCAGTAAAGACCTCCGCGTGAGCTACATTTCCAGCTTCGCGCATATGGTCTTTGAGCCCCTGCCACCGTGTATCCCAGGACAAGTTGCCGACATATACGCGCTTTCCACCGGTGTGGCCACCCGGAGCGGGGCCAGTGGTCTGAGGTCCAGCGGCAGGCGCCTCCTCGTGAAATGCCTCAATCGGGGCCTCCTAGAAGTGATAAGAAAGGAAACGCAGTGACGCAGACAGAGAATGTTGCGTGCGAAACAAGCGGCGACGATAATGTGAGCGAAACATGCAGGTGACGTGACATGATTCCAGTATTGACCGACATGCAGACTGGGGCGGGTGCAAGTATTGCAGCCGTCGGTGCAACTCGATTTAGCCCCTACAGCAGCAACGCCTCAACCTTACCTCCATACTTGCTCAAATGATGACCGCAGCCTTAAACTGTTTCCCGACCTGTTGGCTGCACAAGGACACCGCGCTTTCCAGGGCCGAGAAAGGATGTCCTTTGTGTGAGTGATGCCAGTGCGGGGACGTGCAGGGCGCGCCGTCCTTCACATTTCCTTCTGTGATCCCACAAAACATTCACTCGTTGTCGGAAACGAAAATTTCAAATATTTTCTGAGGGCTCGGTTCGAAATATGGACCAATAACAGAACATTGTAAAGAAAACCCTAAATTATTTGGCAGTGGCCAGGATGGGCAACAAGCTTATGAGCGCCTAAAGACACACGTGTACAGGTGTACAGGTGTACAGGTGGCCTGTCTTGTTTGAGCCGTGGACACGAATAGGTTTAGAATACACGTGTACATCAAATTATATCAGATAAATAGCAGAAAAGACTCCAGAGATCTTTTCATTTATTTTTATGAGAGCCATCCCCGAAGTCTTCTGCTGCTGCGGATCTGTAGTGGTATCAAAAGTGCCCCCCCCCCATTTATTGACTATAAATACGGTCATCTGAGAGCCGCCGGGGGACGGCGACTCCCCCGACGGCCTCACGGTTCACTACAGGTTATGGGCACCATCCCAGTGTGACTTCGATCCCGGTGACGAATTGTCACACTGGATCCCTCTACGCAGGCCGCGCTCAGACAACGTCGGTTGAGCTTCCGCAACCACATCGATAATCTCTACGCCAACACCCTTCTCCAAACCGAATCTGAACCGTCACCCTCCCTCCCTCATTTCACGATGACCACACCTCCGCCATCCCTCAGCCTTCCCCTCCCCACACTCTCCAAGAACAACTACCTACTGTGGCAGTTTTCCTTACACAACTACTTGACTGAGATTGGCCTCGCCCACTTCGCTGATGCCAAGGTCCCTGCACCTGCTGCCGATCAACCCGAAGCTCTCACCCTCCATCACAAACAAGCGGCTCAAGTCAAGCGAATCTTAGGAACTACGTTATCTCCACAGATACTGGCCACTGTTGGCAACCAAATTCTCACGCTCACCCCCCACGCCATATTCCAAACTCTTGCTACACATTTCGACACCATCTGCACACCAGAAGAACATGAACGTCTCCGCCTCAAGAACCCCAGAATCATGATACAGCCAAAAGAAACTATCGACAAATACATAAACCGACACCTCGCGGTCCGGCAAGAAGTGTCTCGCACCGCTCTACCCGGGATAGAGAATGATCGTATCACGGTGAACTTTATCATCCGTGGCCTCTCTGCTCGCCCAAGATTTCACCCACATATCACGCTCCTCCTGACATCTCGTTCGGTCACCATTCGCGAAGCCCGACAGCTCATCGAGCTTTTCAACACCAATCCCCATCACGCCGCAGCCGAGACAAGACCGAGTCCCTCTACCTGATGCACGTACCACCAATCCCCCTCACACAACACTATCGAGTGTATGCAGCTCCAACGACACCAGGCCTCGCAGTAAAAGCCCTATCACAGAGCGGCAACTCCAGCCTATCACAGAGATGCGCCCTCTACCGCCGCACCACCCATGCCCTTCGGCGTACGCGGCCGCGCGCGTGGACGTGATCGGCCTTTCGCTGGTCTTCGTTACCAGCAGGCTAAATTCGCCCCTCAAGCCAACGCAGCTCACCCACCAAATTACGAGAATACCTACGATTTTCCTCCTCCCCACACTGCTTATCAGTTCTACGAAGAGGAAGATGCCGATCCCTCCGAGGACGCATCAGGACCTGACGTAAACAACAACGAATTTGCCCACTATTTCCTTGATTCCTCCTGTACTCCCTCCTACATCACCCATATCCCTCCCAGTGCCCGATCGACCAACGTCGCCATCACCCTCCCCAATCGCGCAAATTGCACCGGATCGCACACTGCAGCATTACAGCTCCGCACACCAGATGGCGTCACTCTCCGCCTCCCGACTGCCATAAGTGCACCTTGTTTTTCGAAGAACCTCCTATCTGTCAGTCAACTAACTTGGCACAATAATTGCGCTATTGTCTTCACGAGTACAGGCGGCTACTTTACTCCGAACCCATCTACCATGCCCCCCGAAGCGTTCGCCCCGTTCCAGCTCAGAAACGGGATCCACCGACTTCCTCTCCAAAACACCACAACCCCACCGCCCACGTGTCATAACACCCAATAGAAAAACCAGCCCATCAGCGCCTACTTCAAGGCCGCCAAACCCAGCACTGCCGCTCGGACGCGCGCCACCCCCTCTGACCCTACCCCGACTTCACCGACACGCACGGCTACAAAGAAATCCACGGTTCCGCAGATACGGACCCCTACGCCGGCACTTCCAGACACGCTGACCACGAGCACTGCTTCCCACAACCGTCTATCCCGACCGTCCTTCCGTGGACGCCATACAGACCACAAGACCCACCTTATCCCTTATCCCCACCATCTCCCCCCTGTTCCCACGAAGCTCCGCCCAGCGGCCGACATGCTCTACACATGGCACTTGCGCCTGAACCACACATCACCCTCAATAATTCGCGCTATGGCATCGCTGCATATCAAACTGGGACTTCCCACCAGACTTTCTCATGCACACGTACCTGTCCATTGCCACGGCTGCGCGACTGGACATATGCAGCGCGCCTCCCATCCCTCCGGCACTAGCCGTCCCCCTCCGGGCCACACCGTCGAGACCGACGTTGCAAGACCATATCCCCCGACGCCGGAAGACTTCAAATATTTTCTGACGTTCATAGAGCTACATACAAGACATATTATCGTCGTCCTTCTCCGCAAACGGTCTGAGGCCGAACATCGCATAAGGTCAGTACACACACGCATAGGCAGACACTTTGGACGCCCCATTTCCCGACTCAGGTGCGACAACGCCAACAAGTTTTTGTCAAAACTCCTCCTCCGCACCCTTCCCGCCATGTGTATCACACTTGATCCTACTACACCGCATACCCCAGAGGAAAACGCGTTTGCCGAACGCCTGAACCGCACTCTCATGGCCCGAGTACGCGCGACAATTACTGTCGCCAAAATGCCCTTCATCAGCGCTTGAGCGCACTGCCTCCTCGACACCACATCCTAATACAATGCCTGTCTGCATACAGGCATTGCTGCAATCCCACGTGCACTATGAACGGCACACCGCAGCCAATACTCCCCCTTTCTTCCCCGCTCACTCTTCCTTGGTAACTACAGAATGTTCGGCGAGTTTGGATATATTCCCGACATACGCCGCACCAAAGGAAAAACGAACCCTCGCGCGTTGATGGTACGCTAATTATCCTGCAAAGACGATAGCCACTATCGTGTTCTGAACCCAAGCAACGGGCAGCTCCTCACTACGCGGATCCCAATCTTCCGCCCCTACAATCCCAATTTCGATCCATCCCTCTACTTTGCACACGCAATACCTTCTTCAACCGGAACTGTACCGCGCGTGAACGCCCATCACGCTATCCCCTTTGAAGCTCATAGTGCAACCATATCCCCTCTCAGCTCATACAATCACATCCCCGAGCAGCCCCGCACACTGGCGGAAGCCCGCCAAGATCGAGACGCAGGACACTGGGAAGCCGCGTACAACGCAGAGTGCGCAATGCACGATAGCTTTGGTACATTCGAATATGTCCCCCAGGCATCCGTGCCCCCTGGCACAAAAATTGCCGGCCCTGTGCTTGCCCTTCGCTACAAACTCGACAGAAATGGCCGTGTCCAGGACTACAAAGCCCGCTGTGCCTATCCCGGCCACCGCCTTGTTCCAGGTATACACTACGATCCGCAAAACATCGCGTCACATACTGCAGACCGAGACTCTATGCGTCTGCCTCTGTCTCTTTGTGTCACCGCTCGAGTGCGCGTGCGACACTTGGACATTACCAGCGCATTTCTATACGAAGACTACAAAGGACTGACACCCCTCTTCATGGTCCCTCTAGCCAATTTTGACAGCACGCCGCGCCACGCTGGTATGGTCGCCAAAGTCCGCAACAATCTCTGGGGAACTCCCCACGCGCCTCGTGTCTACACGGACGGACTCAAGGATCATCTCAATGCCGCCGGATATAAGTCTCTCCTTTCAGACCCACACCTCTATCTACAAAGAAATGGTACCCAATTCATTTACGTCGTTGTGACCGTAGACGACTTCGCAGTTAGTACGAACAGCGATGATCTCTACCCCCACCTCGTAACCACGCTCCAAAAAAATATCGACTCAAAGACCTTGGGTTCGCTACACATCTCATCGGCTGGTCACTCACCGCAGGGCCTGACCACTCCCTACACATTTCTGAACCTGGCCTAGCACAGACATACGTCGACTTACTGCATATGCAAAATGCAAAACCCTCGACCCTGCCATTTCTTTCCGGTGCAAAACTACACGCCCCTCTTCCCAATGAACCAATTCTAGACCACACGAAATACCCTGTCAGTCAAGCTGTCGGCATCCTCCGATACCTTGTCGATTCCTCTCGTCCAGACCTCGCTTTCGTAACCAACGCCCTCGCCCGACACGTCAATTGCGCAACCAACCGACACTGGCTGACACTCAAACAAATCGCACGGTATCTTATTCACTCTAAGAATTATGGCCTCTTCTACAAACCAGGGCCACTCCAACTATCCGCTTGGTCCGATGCTGACTTCGCCGGGTGCCTCGACACCCGGCAGTCCACATATGGGCATGTCATTTCTTTCGCATGGAACCCCATCTCGTGGGCATCCCGCCGCATCAAGACAGTCGTTGACTCTACATTCGCTGCTGAATTTATTGCGGCAAGTATGACAGCCCAACACGCCAAATGGCTCCAGTCACTTGCTGCTGAACTCCTCAATCGCCGCCTGCCCCCCATCATTGTGCATATCGACAATCAAGGGGCCATTGCCGGTGCACGGTCTGCTGCACCCACACGCAGAACTAAGTACATTGATATCCGTTATCATATACTGCAACAATTGACACGGAACAAAACCATTATACCTACCTACATTCCGACTGCCGACATGCCCGCGAATGCACTTACCAAACCGCTGGCCCGACCTCGCTTCACCACCATCTTAACACCATAGGCATCATGTCCCCTCCCCCACCCACGGCTGTAGTGGTATCATAAATACCATGGGAGAGGCGACATGAGCCCTGTAGTAGTGATATCATAAGTGCCCATTTATTGACTATAAATACGGTCATCTGAGAGCCGCTGGGGGACGGCGACTCCCCCGACGGCCTCACGGTCCACTACAGTAGAGAGATTACGCAAGCAAAATTCTGCTTGGAAATTGTGAGGAATCCATGACACGAGTTACACGTGGGGCGGTGAGCAGAATTCTGGCTGAGAGACGTGAGAAATAAAGCAGAAAAATGACCCATTAGTCACCACTTCAATCGCGCCAAATGGAACATTTCAGGACAGATGTCCAGGAGATGAAACCATACGGCGGACGTTTTCCCGCGATCTTCAGACATGGAACGGCGCTCTCATCCCACTCTCCCTCTCTCTCACTCTCCCTCTCTCCCTCTCTACCTTCCCTCCATCCACTATAACTATTCCCTTTCAACGATCCTGCCCACACTCACTGAAACCAATATGGCCAGCGTTTTGACTCTCTCTGACGAAGAACTCGCCGCCGCCGCTTGCAGAGGAAAGCGCCATTCCCGCTTTACAAGCGAAGAAGATCTTGTAATCGTCCCAGAAGTTGCAGCATCACGTGCACATCTCGCCGCGTTCGGGGAGTCCCGCAAGAGATTCGAGATCGCTTCTGACACAATGAACGGCAATGAGGCAGTAACGCAGACAATCACTTGGAAAAACGTCCGGGACCGCTATCAACGTCTACAGAATTCCTTCGATCGCGACGATAACAAGAACCAAAAAATGTCGGGGATAGGGGGGAAGTTGGAGAGCTAGAAGAACTACTGATGAGCATGCGCGATGCTCGGGATGATCTTTTAGAGCAACGAAACGCTGTAAAAACGCTCGAAAGGAGCGTGATGCAGAAAAAGAACGGATTGGAAATGATCTCATGAATTCGGCCATGCAGCGTGCTGGAAACAGGGACAGTACTGAAGATGAAGACTCTATTTCTCCGCGGCCCCTTAAGAAGTCCAAAACCTCCAAATCGAGTATTGCAATGGGCGAGATGGCACAGTTCGGAGCCCATCTACGCGATGCCGATCTCGCTCGAGTGGACTTGGAGCGCGATCGGCTGGCATTTGAGCGAGAGAGGATGGCCTGCGATCGTGAGGAGCGCACTCGGGATCGTGAAGAACGTCGCATTGAGCGTTCGGAAGCGCAACAGCTCGAGCTGGACAAGTTCAAGCTCATGATGGCGGCTTTTACAAGCAAGTAATGATAGTCATGTTTTATTGCTTTGAAGTCGGTGTTACTAAATAAAAGTTGCGTCTTTGTTGTGTTAGCACAAATTTTTCTGCTCGGGCAGGGTGCGCGCGAGCAGGAGTCTGTCGTTTCATAGGATAGCGGTTTATTCTTTATGGTGGATGTACTGCTCTACAGAATGAGGAGAACAGCGAAAGAATTGGGAAATCTGCATTGGACTTGCACAGTTTCTAATGTTGTAAAGTAGCATTGCACACAGGTAGAGCAGGCCCACTGGTGACTGTCCAATCCTTAATTTTTTTTGAAGTCCATGGCTGTAAAGTAAAGTTTCACTTCTTTGAACGCCCACTCGACAGTAATCCGAACGCTTGACATGGCCTTATTGAAGGCTCTTTGAGATGCTGAGAGATTGCTTCCTTGATAAGGAACCTCCAAAAACCACCTCTTGGCGTACCCGCTATCTCCGTAGATACAGAAATTTTGATGTTCTGAGCTCAAACAATCTGGTAGCTCTTGCTCTAAATTGCTTCTTGTGTATAAAGTCCAATCATGTCGACGGCCCTCTACAGGACTGCAGACATGCATAATCAATCCATCTGGAGCTGTGACGGCTTGAAATTTGATTGCGTGCTTCCTTTTGTGTCCATTGTACATCACTAGTTGCTTGCTAAATCCCTCCGGTCTGGCAACACCAATCACTGTACCGTCAATAAAACCGACGCAATTCCTTAGTGCATTGGACTTTTCGAATATGCATTTGGAATACAAAGTACGTCGGCGTTCCATAAATGATTGCGGAAATGGCCCCGTGAGTAAATGCATCCGCTCCTCTGCAAAGCATTCTATTGTTTCCCAAAATATTTCACAAAGCTGGGAAGAATGCTTTCCAAACTCTACTTCCAGCTCTTTCCATCGAAGCAGCGTTGCAAGGCGCCGCAGCATAATGCATGTCGACAAAATTGGATTTGTCCTATAGCGATTGCAGGTCGTTTTCGTTTTGTGCGTTGGCCATCCAATAAAAGGAACAAGATTCAGGATATCAGACCTTCCAAATCTGAACAGAAAGAGACACGACGCCTGACTATAGGAGTTGACGTTGAACATAAAGTCTGCAGAGCTGATGCCGTTACTCCTAGAAAGGTGTTTGGACAATTCTTCTCTTGCATCTTGGTATTTGAGTGCCGTATATGATATCGTTAGAAGATTGGTGAAAGCTGATGTATGTCCTGACATGCGCTTTACGCTCATGGATACCAAGGCAACTTGCCATGTTTTCATAGTCTCCTTAGTCTTTGCTTTGGTAAAATCCCTTTGCCTACCAGATCCCATAGTGTGAGTGTCCAAAGGAGAACGAGATTCTCTAGGCTATGGGAACTCGTACTCACAATGAACGACGCCGAGGGGATTGCGTAATTTACGTTTTTCTAATTTTCTGCAATAGAATTCTGTCCGCAAATCACGCATACAGTAGACTGGGCTATCCTTGCTGTCGGAAGTTTAGAGAGAATTCCGTTTTTGCGAAATTCCACGAGTATCAACGATTCACATTCACTCATGCGTCAGAGTTTATTGTTAAAAATATCCATCCTTTCGTGGCTCGCCATCCCTCATGGCGCCATGCTTCGCTCATCCATCCCCTCGTTGCCTCTTCCCCACGCGACCGTTACCCACAGGGTACAACTTGTACCCTCACAGGCGGCGAGTACTAACGTAGTTCAACAACACAAATCGCGTTCGCTTCTGGTTAGGGACGAGGACAGAGGCGGCCCTCTGCTCTCAGGCAGTGTCTCCACCCCTTGGACCTTTCTTGGACTGTGAACAACTGTGCCTCCGAGATATGGCGCCGCTCGGAAACGTGACCTCCGGCAAACAGAAACGTGCCCCGAAGACGTTTATTACTTTCCTCAGCGGCGCCACTTCAGGTTGCATCTCCACACTGGCTTTACAGCCTTTGGATGTCGTCAAGACTCGAATGCAAATGTCCGCTGCTTACAACCGCTCGGTCCATTTGCAACCGGCCTTGTCCCTGCAACCGAACTCCAGCATTTTCGAAACATTTCGCGGTATTGTCCATCAGGATCGCGTCTCTGGTCTATGGAGAGGCGTTGCCCCATCCATTCTTCGAAACACCATGGGTGTCGGCCTTTATTTTATGACACTCAATGCGATCACCGCTCGCCTCTCATCCCCTGATGGCTCTCTTTCACATGTCGCTACCCTAGCCTCAGGTGCGGGCTCGAGATCCCTGGCTGTCGTCTTGCTTTGCCCTCTTTCAGTCATCAAGACCAGGATGGAAACTGTCGAGTACTCTCGTATGTACAACGGCATCGCACATGCCATGCGAACAATCGTTGCGCAAGAAGGTATTGGTGGGCTCTTTAGCGGACTCGTTCCTGCAGTTCTCAGAGACGCCCCATTTTCCGCCATGTACATGCTCATCTACCTGCGCGCGAAGCAGACTTTAGGACAAGCCGTAGGATTGAAGGAAAATCGGTCTTCGATCATGCGAAGCGTTGCACCCCAGGCATCAACTAACTCACTTCACCTGCAAAAGACAGAGATACCAGCAAAGGTAACCTCCACGAAGGGCCTCACGATGGCCGTTAACTTTGCAAGTGGCGCGATGGGTGGCGGCTTGGCCACTTTGCTGACGCAACCGCAAGATGTTATCAAAACTCGAATGCAGCTGAGCATGCGCCATAGTGACGGAACGCCAAGCAGATACAGCAACGTATGGGAAGCATCACGGAGGCTCTTCAACGAGGAAGGCCTCTACGCTTTTTTCCGCGGTTCTTCGCCGCGTTTTTTGAAAAGAATCCTTGGATCGGCCATTACCTGGATGGTGTTTGAGGAGGCAAACACTTTGTACAGCAATATTCTCAAGAAGACTAACGAACCCACTGCTAGTTGATGACAGTGATCCCGGGACCGAGATTCCGTCACTAGTGCTTCCTCAAGATAGGATGCACATTTTGATGCAGCGGATGGGTTCGATGTGAAGGCACCACCAAGCTGTCGCGGATAATGTAATTTACAGGTTTGAAGACAGCTTGCTGTACAATGCGTATCCTGTTTGGAATAATTGTATTCTTAAAAGACCTAGAGCGAGAACTGGATGACTGCGGTACTTGTTCCACATCTGTCATTGAGCATGTTGTCGAAAAGCATAAGAAATTTTCCGAGCGGAAAAAAGCACGGCAGAGCGCCACCTCGACATGACAAAACGCATTACTAAGATATTCAGAACAGTACCTCACTGTCGAACTGTTACCAAAACTGGCTGCGGTACGCGGTCCATTACCTGCAGATCTGTCTCCCCCATCTCGTACCCCTCACCGTCAGATGCTTCGTTGTAGGTAAGCGGAAGTTCAGAAACAGGGACCTGATTCACTCTTGTCGTTTCGTCCGGATCATAACGCAGCCACATGTATGCGCCGATCCCCGCCTGACAAATGCTGAAACCGATGGTATTCAGAAGTGTCAAATCGTCTTTGAAAAACGTGATGCCGCCAGCTATCGTTAGAAGCTCTTTAAAAACTCCCGCTACACTCAGTGCGAGGGAGGAAGTGGCATTGACAAGCCAGTATTCGCTCATAAGGAGAATGAATACCAAGGTGCCGACGAACAGCATACTCCCGAAAATTATCCAAAACTCATTGGCTGTGATGGTAGTCATCTTAGTGGCCACTTGACTACCTTCGAACAAAAGTGCAACCGGTAGGACGCAGAGAGCCGTAGTAGGTGATGTGTACAGCGTGGCAGTGAGGGGCGCCATGCGCTGAGAAGATTCGCCATCGCGAGTTCCTTTCAACAGGCCGTGCGTCATGGCCCACCGCAAGCCCCCTAAAGCAGTTGCGAGCAACTGCAAAATGAAACCGGTGAGCACGAACGTGTGCTGCCCGAAGGCAGCAAGTGCGATCCCGAGGGCGATCACAAAGAGGGAGAGGCAAAGATGAACGGAAAAGGTCTCAATCCCGAGCAGCAAGCCCCACATCATCGTAAATACTGGAGCCCCTCCCTTCAAAATGGTCCCAAACGAGACCGTGAGAATCTTCAGAGCCATGTTGGAGCAACCAATCTCCAGCGCAGTCGCCACCCCAATGGGGAGGACATAGTTTCTGAATTCCCTGCGCGTGAGAGGTTTCGGTCTCCATCCTGGCCGGGCCGAAAACAACGCGGCCCATACGGTAGTGAGGGTGTTTGAAAAGGCCGTCACAGTCAAGGGGAACTCAAAAAAATTCACAAAAAGCCATTTAGTGGTGAGGATAATGGAGGACGAAATGCAAAACCAGAACACCAGAGTCAGCGCAGTGCGCAAGTGGACGAGGATACGGCTGCGGTAGGTGACGGGGGTATTCGCAGGCATGTTGAAAGATTGTGGACGAAGAGACGGGGGCGGGCGGGGGGGAGAGGCTTTCGTGGAAGTGACTGCAGCGGGATACACAAACGAACCCGCCCGTGGCGGTATTATGCAGTTGTCAAACGTTTGGAGAGGGCATAGGCTCCGGGGAATGAGGCAAATAAGGCAAATACAGTGTGAACGAGAAGAGAAGAGAACTGAGGGAGTGGGTAGGGAAGTGATGTCACCAGAGGGGAAGCTGGACACTTCGCAAATTCGGATTACAAGTGCGTCAGCAACGACCCAGTATCGCAGTAGGGGCATCAATTTCAGCTCATAGACCATTGCTCACTGCCGCGGCCTTCTTCTCTGCTGTGGTGATACAGAGGCACATCGGACACACGTGTGCATGACAGTGGCCACTTTGGCCTCGCAAGAAAGCAAAACTGAAATATGCTCAATTGCAGCCAATAGAAGGACTCGTACCAGCAAAACGTATTTAACATTTGTTGGCCGAACCCCAACCCAAGGTGCCCATTCTCATGATGCCCATGCCCAACGTCCCCATTCCCAACGTCCCCATTCCCAGAGCATTGCTATGCAATTACAGTATGTGTGGATCAAATTGCCCTTTTCCGCAGAAGTCAAACGGACGACAGCCAGCAACGCACCCCGCCGCGCCACGCATTCCTTTACCTCGCCCTTTTATGCATTCTGCTACGCACCAGATATCTCCGCCATAGACCCAAGCAAGAACCCCCACACTATTCCTTTTCTTGATCCCCATTGTAAGGACAGTACCCATTTCAAAGCTGCAGTTACTAGCATCATGAGTGCAATGGCTTTCTGCGGCCCAGCCCTCCTCTCGCCAACAGGGCGACGACGCACCGTACGAGTATGCGTCACCATGCGGAAGGGCAAGCGCGAGCCCAGCCGAAAGCCAATTCTCGAGAGAGAGCGAGGAACGCATTGAGGACCTGGCTTCCAAGTACGGAATCCGCGCCCCGCGCCCCGGCGACGACCTCGACCGCAAATTTAACACGACTTCCTCGTCTGACCCTGATAATCAGCCCCCGCCATCCGCTTACCAGCGACTCGCAGGAGCCTTTGGCGTTGAGGCACTAAATGCCGCCGAACGAATACTAGTTGTTGCATTGGGAACCATGCTCCTCGCCTTTTTAGCGTCGGGGCTTGCGATCTCCAGCGAGGCCTTTTTCAAGGCCTCCGGAAAGGAGATTCCTGACAATGTGGAGGCCATACTGCTGAGTCTCGAAAAAGCCTTTACCCCTACAGTACTTATTTCCCTTGCGCTATCGTCCGTATTTGGTTTATACAAACAGTCGCAGCTGTCTTCAGGAGCTTCTTCGTACTCTGCGCTCGGCAAAGATGAGGAAACAACTTGAGCAAGGATCTCAATTATCTTAACCGTGTTCAGTACAAATGTTAGCATTTTTTATCGCCACACCCAGCCTTCAGGTATTATTCGAGTGACTTGCTGTCGTCTTCCGTTGTGACTTGCCAGCTGTGACGGCCCGCAAAAAAAAAAAAAAAATGGAGCGGATGCAGTCAATGTCAATGCGCCGTTCCATTTCCAGACTGTGCCAGAATTTTGGTCAAGTCGTCGCCGTCTCTGGCGGCTGTTGCATCTCCAGCAGTAGGTCATACATTGTTTCTGGACTTGCCATGTACATCGCGAGGATGCTGACATATCGTCGGTGATATGTGCAGTAGATAGGGTAAACGGAATGAAGTATAAGAGCAACCCCACCGCGTCGATTCTATTGCCGGATAGAAATGAAACGTGTACGCTGACTATTCGCCGGTTGCACGAATAGATTTTTGTGGCGAATCGTCAATCTATTCGTGTGGATTCTATTCGCGTCAACCCCAACGCATATTTGCAACTCTATCGCTGAATGCTCGTGCGGACAGCGGCGAGACGTCACACATCGTCTGCGAAAAGGCGATCGTTCATCGAGACGCCCACCCCTCGCCGTGAATCCCGCACGGCTGCATGTCTGTCTTCCGCAGCCTGTGCCCTCTGTCCCTGTTCGCCGCGCGCCCTCCCTCCGGTACTGTCCAACTACGCGCTCCCACACGGCATCATCGCCAATGAACCCGATAGAAGTCCTCAGAACCGTCCTTCAGTACACAGACGACAGCCATGGGGATGATGAAATCATTGTTGCGAGCATGCACGGGTCACACGTCGCCGAAGTGCATGCTGCAGCGACGACGCAGCGCGGAGGTTCTCGGTTGGGACGGCATGATCGAGTTCGCGCGCTTCGCTATTCGTAGTATACTGTGACAGGTGGTTGTTGATGATGTGCCTCTCCCACGCTACTAGAGGACATGAAAGGCTGATTTATGAGTACCATAGCCGCGAGCCATGGTGTTGGCGCACTATTGCATGCCTGAATGAAGCGCGCGACACGCCTGCCGAGGAGTTTCGGCTCGCCTTCTCGCAAGTAGGAGGCACATTTGGCTGGAATTTGGTAGACACGCTTGGCACGTGTCATTCTATCGGGGAATCTATTCAACGGATAGAACGTTTTTGGAATCTATCGGCGCTCGGATAGACTCCGAAATGGTTCTATTCGATTTCGGAAAGCGATCGAATTGCGCGGTGGGGTTGAAAATCGTGAGCAGAAATTCTATTGATCAAATAGATGTGCGCGGTGGGGTTGCTCTAAAGCATCTGCTCTCAATCCATGTTCCTCTCTCCGCGTAGCTGCGTGGTGCAAATGTCGTTCACAACTGCACTGTAGAGTGCAGTACCTGGATTCTCATGCGTTTGAAACCTCGCTAATAATTCTGATTCTACTTGGTTGTCCGTAAAATAACGCGCTGTTTTGTCATTTGCCCACAAAATGGCTGGACGTAAAGCGAACCCGAGAGTGAAACATTCCGCCACGGGTTTTGCCGACTGACTTCCAGCAGGGTGACTGCCCACAACAAACGCAAGTCTGATAAAACGTTGTGCCGCTCGACAGATCACGTGCACCTGCGCGAATATTCGCTGAAACGAATATTGTAGCTCGCCGCAACGATAGAATGGTTCTCAGTCGAGAGAGAGATTTGTTTCGTCTTCTTGACAGGCTGAGAGGGGCCGTTTGGAGAGGACTGCTTTTTAGAAGCTTCTACTTGTCTATCTTTCGCGGTTACTTCGGCGGCATCTGTGGCAGATCCTGTCACGCTTTGATCCGTTGATGGACTCTGCGCAGATGAGGCGATAGGGGCGCCCATGACGCATATACGACCCGTGCAGTCTGAGACTCGTTTGTGCTGATGAAAAGAACGGAAAATCCACTTTGTTTTCCTTCAAGACGGGTCGATCCGGCACTGCTGTGATCAGGCGGATGTGAAACTCGTGGAAAACTCACATGCTCTCGTTTTCGGTATGATGTGAGTTTTGCCAAACGCGTTGCCTGAAAAATTTTCGGCACTGTATTTCCCGAATCACACTGTAATTCATCAGAGCAGCGCGGGGGAGCGGACGGCGTGATGCCACTGTGAATAGTGTTGAAGAAACAAGATTACGCTTTATTAGCACTTTTCAATTAACGAAAAATGATGTTGCTTTTAAGACCCCCAAATAGGACCATTTCTTGCATCAAATTAGTAGTGAAAACAAGCAAGCAGCGTCGTGTAGAGCGTGAAGATTATTAACTTAGGAGGCCGTGCTTCGGTCTCAGAGGTCATAGATGTCAACAACTCACATCAATCCGAACATGGGTTCGGAAGAGGATGACCTCTCAACGGCTGTTGCTATGGTCGCGCAGTTTGAGGCACAAGTGCAGCATACCTCCCACCTTGCCGCACAGTCCGCTTCCGGTGCTCGAGATTTTTTGCATCACAGTACCTCCTCAAGTGACGACGAGCCTGGGCCTGGCCGGGACCACAGCGTTGAACGCACAAAAACGCAATATATGCGAAGAGATCATTCGCGTTTGTACAACTTCGTTCGCGAGGAAGACGCCGATTTCTCTCTCTTTACAAAATTGACCCATTTGTCTCGCAAAGAGATTGACATTTTACACACCCTTGTTCATGCAGAGTTACAAAAGTCTTTTAACGTTCGTGGAAATAATGACCACGGGGTCCGTGCACAGGTCTGGCAGGTCCCGGTACGCCTACATGAGCGCCGCCAGAGGTTGCGCGGCGTCCAGCAGCAATTTAGAGCGCCACTAACGCGGGCCTCCTTCAGGGGCGCCGTCGCGAGAGCCACGGCGTCCGACACGACCGCTCATTCGGGCCGTAGCAACAATGCCTGCTTGATGGTCGCCGGCGAAATGTTGGGGGCGGACGAGAGGTGGGCGGAGTAGCGGTGCTTGGACAGGTTCAGTTTGTGGTCGAGAAACTCGGACGTGCGGCGTAGGCGGGCGCTGTGATGTATCAGAGCAGGCAAACATAGGGTTTGTGTCAGGTGGGCGGCGTGAGCGAGCGCCTCTTCGCGGCTAGACGGGATCGGGGCTGTTGGGAAGGACGGCGTGGCACCGTTGAGAGGCCGTAATAGGCTGTGAGTTGCGTGTTTGGGGAGTTGGGCGGGATAGCGCCCGTCATGGCGGGGGTATTTGAAGGCGCAGGCGGAAGGGGACAACAGGGAGGAGGGTAGGGAGGAGGCGGAGAAGGAGGTACATCGCAAAGTTCTGCACAACGATCGTTGGGTTATATGGCCACTTTCTCCAGTGGGGCACCATCTCTGTTGTGCACTCTACAGCGAGGCACAGGCCCCCCGGAATGCTTCATACTAGCCCCCTGCCACAGTCGAACTGCAGCAACACCACAGTGTACACCCATCCAAACAGGTCGGGACGTCTGGACACGTCTACGTATCCGACTTCATATGCTTCCGTTTTCGGCAAAACCTGCTATGATAACGCACTATACGATCCACTTGGACAAACTGTATCGCTTTATTTTCCCTCAAAACCATCCGGCTCCTTACAAATATACTGTATATGTTAGTGAAAGAATTTTTCCCGATCCTGGAACAGAGACTCCATGCCCCCGCCCAACACTGTGTTATCATCCCCGAAATCCTTCTTGATGAATCCGCTACATCCCCCGTTATATCGATTCCATATCCCTGTGACTCTCTGTTATCCCGGCATCCAACATCAAGGCGTTCGCCTTGAACGATAGTCTCTTTTTCTCCTATTCTTTTGCATGCAGCACTGCAACAAAACAAAACTTTTGACTTCCCAAACCGTCTGAATCCATTCCTAGAAACCCATATTCCAATTGCCATGGAATACGCCAGATTGCTAAGAGAGTTTCCTACATTTTAAGTCCCCCTACTAGCGATTTAAACTCCGCAAGCCATTCTCCATCCGTTTCCTCATTATGGCATACGACGAACGCCATCGTAGTCCACCCTTTCGAAATCGATCTGCACTCGTCGTTCAAAACGTTTGCGAGCGCTGCACACATGGATCCGAACATCAAGCGTTTGTCTTCATATCTCAGGCCAATTCTTGTTCCTGATCTTGGCACTTTGACAAACAAGGTTGGCTTGGGGACA